GACGATAACGGCGTACTACAGCCTATGCGTACGAAAACGAACAACAGGGAACCAGCGCATTTCTCCGTAGAGCCAAACACCGACAGCTATGAAAACTTATCGGTTTGGACTTTCCACATGGTCGCCGATTGCCACGGCAAGGTAAAGCTGCAAATGAGAGTAGATGATACGGGGGAGGTCACAGTAAATAGCATAGAGGATCAGAGAAATCAGCCTTATAACCATATGACCATTAGCACGCTTACGGTATTAAGTTTGTGAGACTTACTGTATACAATGACCACGTTAATGTCCAACCCACACGCAAAGGAGGATTGGTTTCTTCATTATTTGGAGGAGAAGGATGACGTAAATGATGATAATTGGCACGGCACCGGATTATGGGTGGAGGTTGGAGGCCTAGGATTAATCATGTGCACCATTAGCATTGCGGGGTGGTATGCGTGTAATGTCGGGTTTAGGATTGTTGATGAGAACGACCGACCATTGCTGCCTCATAGAACGAGAAATAATAAGAGGCATCCGGTTCATTTTTCGATGGATCCTCCGCCGGGTGGAGAAGATTTGACGCCAGTAACTTTTCATATGATAGCCAATTGCCAATATGCAAAGCTTCAAGTTCGTTCCAGCAAGTCAAGTGGCGCCAACAGCCGCGTACGAATAAATGGCCAGGGCTCCTATAACAAAAATGCGGCCTGGAATCATAAGCCCATTAGCACCATGAGCGTGCTGCCGCTAATGCCGCATTATCAAGGCGGCGCTAACACCGTCTTTACTTATCCCAAGTCTTCTCCGCTTTTTGGAGGGGGCTCCAACAACGATAAGCCACCAGTAATACACGAGGATAAGATTAACCCTTCATCTTCTTCAGGAGGACCACTCCAATAGCTACGACTAATATCCAAATGTTGTTGCCTACGAACTTTAACAGTTCTCCGCCGGCCCTAAGTGCCAGGCCAATCACGCTACCAAGCAGCCCAGGAAGGGCGGCTGCCATCTTTTTCCCTAAGTTCGTCAAGCCCTTACCTAACCCCTTTATGCCTGCGCCCGTAGCCTTAAGCGCGGATAGGATCACGCCTACTACGGTGCTAATAGCGACCGCGAATGCCAGCTGGACGCCATGCTTCAAAAGGGCTCTTTTTACCTTTTCCTTGGTGGTAGGGCCCAATTTTCGTTCTAAGGATTGGACTTTGGCTTYTAATTCAGCTTTGCGCTCTAGTAAGTCCTCTATGGCGGTCTGGGCGGCTTYCCTTTCTTCTTCGGGCTTGGTTAGGTCGTTGATTATTTCTCGCTTCTCGGCTATGTTTTTTTCTAGGTCTCCAATGGCCTGGCGCATTTGTCTGATTTGCCCTTCTTT